ATTCCTTGTTTTATTGTTGTGATTATTGTTTTTATTTTATTTTATGTAAAGCACTTTGAATTACCATTGTGTATGAAATGTGCTATACAAATAAACTTGCCTTGCCTTGCCTACCAAACATACAGCTCGAGCAGTGGGTAGATCCATGGCAGGTATGGTTTCAGTTGAGCGCCACCTTTGGCTCACTCTCACAGACATCAAAGAATAGGACAAAACTTTTCACTTGGACGCTCCCATTTCTAAAGACGGCCTATTTGGAGATTCAGTCACCACTGTGGTGGATAAGTTTCGAGCAGCAAAACAGCAGTCTGCCGCTTTTCACCAGCTCATTCCGCGTAGGCCCAGGGAGGCAGAGCGTCAACCACCAATGGTCCGTTCACGCTCATCCTCTCTACACCGTCATCGGGAGGTTCAGCGTAGTGAACCATCACCTATGGCACCCCCTCGGAAGGATTGGGGTCCTAGGTCTCGTCCACCGGTTCGCCCGCGCCAACGCAAGCGGATAGACCTGAGTTCGACAGCCATGGCCTCTCGTTCTCAGGCTCCTAGTAGCAGTTCCTGATTCTCTCGCTCGTCTTCGGAGGCCAGGCCCTCCTTTGGAGAGTTTGGTCGGACCGCACAAGCGTATCCACCTCTCTCAATGTGGCCTCCCGGCTCAGAGCTTGACCGTCCCGCCGCTTACTGCGCCTCGGGCGGTTTTAGATCGAGTCTTCGCGGCGAGCACCTCCTCAGACCCTCTGTGCGTCCCAGCCTTCAGAGCTCGAGAAAAAGCCCAAGGGTCATGCGAGCATGGCCCGTTTATGACGGCCTTCAAAGCTCCCACTCTTGGGGTGGTGGGCAGGCCCGACAGGGCACGAGCACGAGTACAGGAGCTCAGTATCAAGCCCGATACCGATACCAGTATCGGTATCGGTGCATCCCTAGTTTCGAGGTCTTGGAAGCAGCCTTTTTCGGCGCGTATTACAAACGCCGCTGCCGCTGATTTTGCCACCGTGTCTAAAATGGCGGATCACGGTTACGGGGCAATGCCGGCCGTCGAAGAGACTCTCGCCACACACCTCGAGCCTAATTCAGCTCCATCTTGGAAGTCATGCCCTACGTTGCCGTCCAAGCCATGTAGGATCACTTCCAGTTTAATCTGGAAATCTTACATGGCCGCTGGGCAGACTGCGGCCATGCTACAGTCCATGGGTGTGCTTCAAGCCTATCAGGCAGAGCTTCTCAAGGAGCTGGATGAAGGGGAAGGCCTCACTCCTGAGGCTGTTAAGGAGCTCAGGAGAGCTGCAGATTTGGCGCTTAGAGCTACCAAACATACAGCTCGAGCAGTGGGTAGATCCATGGCAGGTATGGTGTCAGTTGAGCGCCACCTTTGGCTCACTCTCACAGACATCAAAGAAAAGGACAAAACTTTTCTCTTGGACGCTCCCATTTCTAAAGACGGCCTATTTGGAGATTCAGTCACCACTGTGGTGGATAAGTTTCGAGCAGCAAAACAGCAGTCTGCCGCTTTTCACCAGCTCATTCCGCGTAGGCCCAGGGACGCAGAGCGTCAACCACCAATGGTCCGTTCACGCTCATCCTCTCTACACCGTCATTGGGAAGTTCAGCGTAGTGAACCATCACCTATGGCACCCCCTCGGAAGGATTGGGGTCCTAGGTCTCGTCCACCGGTTCGCCCGCGCCAACGCAAGCGGATAGACCTGAGTTCGACAGCCATGGCCTCTCATTCTCAGGCTCCTAGTAGCAGTTCCTGATTCTCTCGCTCGTCTTCGGAGGCCAGGCCCTCCTTTGGAGAGTTTGGTCGGACCGCACAAGCGTATCCACCTCTCTCAATGTGGCCTCCCGGCTCAGTTCTTAACCGTCCCGCCGCCTACTGCGCCTCGGGCGGTTTTAGATCGAGTCTTCGCGGCGAGCACCTCCTCAGACACTCTGCGCGTCCCAGCCTTCAGAGCTCGAGAAAAAGCCCAAGGGTCATGCGAGCATGGCCCGTTTATGACGGCCTTCAAAGCCCCCACCCATGGGGTGTTGGGCTGGCCCGACAGGGCTCTTGGATGCCATCCTGTTATAGAAGTTCCCGCCACTCAGTTGCTTCGGGGCCCTATGCGGGAAACTCAGGCGAGATTTTTATCAACCCCGCCCATGCTACCTGTTCTCGCGGACGCCAGCGGCTTTCCGCAGTCAGATGCCCTGACACCTGTAGTTCGACCACTGCCGAACATAGAGCGTCTAAAACCTCTGGCAGATTTTTGGGCCCGTGGAAACGCTTGCCCAACGTCTCGGAGTGGGTACTACGCACCATTCGACACGGTTACACCATACAATTTCGGAAAGGGCCACCCCCTTTCAGCGGGATTCTTCCCACGACAGTACGTCCTGGGCAGGCTGCGGTGTTACGCCAGGAAATCGTGTCACTCCTAGAGAAAGGGGCTATAGAGGAGATACTCCCCACTCAGATGGAGTCAGGCTTCTACAGCCGGTATTTTGTTGTGCCCAAGAAAGATGGTGGTTTACGTC